TGAGGGAGGTCCGGTGTGCCCACATAGCCTTCTCTGTCAACTGCAGAGGACACACAGCCACACGCTTTGACAGGTCCTCCCACTCCGAACAACCACTGCCACAGACAACATGGGCCTCTGCTAGAGTGGTGACCACATCCAACATAATGGGAGTTCTGAAGGCTGCTGTGGAGAAGAGCTGGTTGTCCCAGGCAATTACAGAAGGCAGCAGTGGGAGGCACATGAAACCACAGCAGGCAGGGCTGGGCTAGCGGTGGGGGCACCGCGTGTCTGTCTCCTGTCTGTCAAAGTAATGCTCATCGTTACCAGTGACCTAGTTAACCAACAGAGCAGACAGGAAAACCATGAACGAATATTTAAAAGTAAGGCGTGACATTTTTCTGTAACTCAGCTTTCATTTCATTGCGGTGGATTCTACATTAGACGGTAGATACTGGAATACGCTACAAGTCAGTGCCCTTTTCAGAGCTGGAGACTGAGGACAGGGAAGCAAACCAGCCTTCCCAGGACTACAGAGCTGACAGGGAGGGGCTGGGACCAGCGCCAGGATGCCAGGTTCCTAGGCCAGGGCTCATCCTAAGACATATGACCTCTTATTGAAATGTCCACTGTGTGTGGACATCAAAAGTTACTAGGTATGTTTTCCTGGTTACCAAGGCTCTTCTTATGGTTTAACGTTTAGAAGTGACATAGGATATGATGTCAGAAACATTTATTAATAAGTCACAATTAGAGTAACACATATTTAAATAAACGGCCTAGCTCATTGCTAATATCCAGGCTGGTATCAAAGCCACAAATAAAAACACTAACCATCTAACTGTGCCCCATAATTAACGAATGAAATGATACAGTCTGAAAGATTCAGAAGGCAGCAGAGGACAATAGGAGAACCTGAGGAGAATGGGTAAAAATCTGAAATTATCTCATGACTCCTTGCTTAAAAATCTTCAGTGATTCCAAACTGCTTACAGGACAAAACCCAGACCAAATGAAGGTATTGATAAGTGGACATGTCCAGCTCTCTGTCCCCAGACCCCTCCACAGAGCTCACTCCAACAAAGGTGTCTGCACACCGTCCCAGCACTGTTCGGTGGTCCTATAGCTGGAGTGCATTGCCCTTGCCTTTCTACTTTTGAGGGCCCACCAGTTTAGCCATCCCCTCCTTCCTAAGCAGTATCAGTTCTGGAATCTGCATTCCAGAAGTGTGGTCTAGTCCATTGCCACAACTGATGAGAAGCATCATGGATATCACCCCTTGCTCATTATCTCATGACTTTGTCCTGACAATTATCCAAGGAAACCCAGATCTGTTGTCTTCTCCAAATAACTCACTGAAGCCACAGCTAAATAATTCACTGATTCAGACATTTAATTTAGGCTGAAGAACACTTGCTAAACACAATTCTTTTACATAGATTAGGTATGCAAGAAATGAGATTTTTTTTTTTTTTTTTCCCCTGACTAGTAGGAGAGGAGACAGATGAATTGGGACAAATTTAAATAACTGGGAACAAAGTACAGGGGAAAAGACCAGAATGGTGGAGTTACTGAAGATGAAATGTATTCTATAATTTCTAAAAAAAGAAAATAAGATTATTTTATAATAAACCATAATGGAAAAGAATGTAAAAATGAATATATGTATCTGTTAAAAAAAAAAAAAAGAAAAGAAGGACATTAATTTCTTAAGATAGTTTCACAGCAAGTAGAGAACCACAGCATCCTTTCCGGCCTAGAATTATTTCAGGAAAGATCCAGTGAATTGCCAGTGCAGATACATGTGGAACTTGGCTCTGCTAAGCAACACAGAGACAAAAGCCCTGGGCCTCACTCATCTCCCCAGCACAGGCATCCGCAGGGCTGCCTTTTCAATAAACTCTTCTCCTCACGCCAGCTGACTAGCTAGGTTTTCCAGTAAACGAACTTTCTGACTGAACTGAATTAATCACCTCAGTTTTTAATTTTCGTGTTTTGCATTTACTGTTTATAAAGATACCACATACAGTAGGCAGACTAAATGCCGAATATAATCAAACAGAAAGTTCAAAACTATGACCTAAAAACTTGCCATGAATCCACACTCTGTGCATCCCTCTTTATTGGAAATGATGAGAACATCCAGTGCAAGTCTTCCTTCACTGCTGTTCCCAGTGCCAGGGCTGTTGCAGAGCCTGATAAACCATGAGACCAGACCTGGGTCAGCTTTTCATTCTGATTCCTTCTTGGTGAAAGAGGGAGGCGGGATGAAAAAACACCAAACGCAGGACAAGACAGAGAAGTGCAGATTAAGAAGTTATGAAGAAACTTTATGTAAAACTGCAATGTCCTCAGGACAGAGCCATGCTGCTTTTTGTTTTATCACTTCCAAATGTTGTATCAAATATATGGTAGCCACAGACTTAGTAACGAAAGAGCAGGAGTTCTGAGGCAGGAAAGGTTAGCACATCAGACACTGGAAATGATTTGAGGGACTCTGCCAAACCCATCTGAGGGACTCTGATTCCTCTCCCAGCCTCCTCCACCACGTGCCCTCCCACAGCGGATGGTGGACGGCCACAGCTACGCAGCAGATGGGGCCTAACCGCAGCCCACATGCCCGCTCCAGGGGCCCAGTACAGAGGGAGCTGGCACACTGCACTAAGCACGGCTGCTCCCTGAGGAAATCACGGCAAATCCTCTCTCTAGCACCCCAACTGCAGTTTAAGTCACCAAAACCCATTTCCACGTAATGACTTTAATAGCATCTGCAACAGAAACCACAGATGAATGGAGGGAGATTTTCTTGCATTTTCGTTTTCCCCAGAAATTTAACTCATTCCTACCTATGCTTGAGCTTCAACTACACAGCTCAGAATTCTTCTCTAAATATGAAACATGTGTTTTACCTCAAAAGGACAATCTCTTATGAAATTAGGTTCTCCCTGCAGGGAAGGAGAATGAGGCAGCTAACTAGCACAAAGCCCTGCCCCTCCTGTGGGTGGGTCTTCCCAGCCTAACTGCTCAGGGATCACCGTGTCCTCTGCCCCCAAGCCAGCCTCCTGATTCATGACCATGGCATCTGCTGTTCCCAGCATGGACGCCACAGGGCTCACTAAGACTTGTTGATGACAGTCAGGACCAACCACATAAGAAACACACTTTCATGGGAAAGAATGGTGACCTCAGTGGTCACTGAGGAATTTTATTCTACTCACAGCTGTTGGTGCATTCATCCTGACCTCTCCCATTCTATCACAGCTTTTAGGGGAAGGGCACGTTGTATATACATGGTAGTAGCGATTGGTTATTTGAAATTGCAAGGGCCCTCTCAAACTACATGGCCACCACTAGAATTAACAGATAAAATTCCTACATTTCCCATGTCCTACAAAACCCATGTTCTTGCTTCAGCCTCAGCACAACTGTGGGACATAGAAGAGCTCATCTCAGCCACAGACACCTTCATTGGAGGATGGGAGAGGAGGGTCTCAGATCCTACTGATCCTGAGGCCTATATGCAATCTTACCCACTTTCATGAGAACAGGTTAAGTTTGCCTTTATAGTATGAGGGTTTCTCAAGCCCCAAGGCAGACAAGATCTGCAGTGTTCTGGAGTCACTAAGCCTATCAAAAGAAGTGATTAGTAACCTGCAGAATTTCCTAGTTGCAGCTAGAAAGTGGCATGTCTCTGTGTCATTACTTAAAGGTATTAAAAGTTAGACCAGAAGGAAAAAGTGACAAATCATGTATATTTAAAATATCCCATAGCAAAAGATGAACACTTTTTTCCCAAAATGGAAAAGGCTGAGCTTAAAGGAGTCTATGCCTATGTAGACACACAGAACAAAATTATTTAAAAACAGGTTTAAAAGACATACAGTCTCTTGTATGCCTTGATGTTAAGTGTGGGATGCCACCAATGAAACAGTCTCTCCAAAATGGAGCCTGAATCTGGTGGAGCCTCTAGAGGTACAAACCGACCTACAAGAGTACCAGGGCAGAGAGCAGGCAGTTCACCACCTGCTGGGAGCTGGGGAAACCAAGTCAGGAAGATACAAGCTGCAAAATCTTGACAGAGGAACAATTTAGTTTTTTCATCAAATAAACTTCAAAGGAAAAAGATGACAGAGGAAAGAAAGCTATGCATTAAAGGCACTTCACTAAATGCAACACACGGGCCTCATGAGGATCCTGATCTGAATAAACATGTAACACATTTTCCTAAATGAGGTAACTAGGGAAGTGTGAGCACTGGCTTGATGTCTGATGATACCAAGGAATTTACTTTTTACTTTTTTAAGGTGAGTATGGTATTGTGCTGATTTTTTAAAACGGTTCTTATCTTTTAAAGCTACATACTGAAATATTTATGAATGAAATGATATAACGTCTAGGTATTTGCTACATAATTATTAAAAAAGGAAAAAGAAAAGGCCACTGTGTTGTCCAGCATTAACACAGGAAGATAAGTTGCAAGTATTTCTATCAAACATTGTTTAAATTTCAACTTCCTGGACAAAAAGTGGCAAGCCTCCGCAAGAACCTGTGTTGAGCACTTGAGAGCAAGTGCCCTCAACTGTACATGCCCAGGTAGCGCACACACAGATGGCACACACATACAGGTGCTGCACACGTGTGCACACAGTACACACGCCACACATGCATACACGTACGTGTACAGAGCCCACCTGGACACACACATCGTGCACATACACAGCCTACATGTGCATCTGAGCCCACATATACAGACATACACACACATACAACAGACATAGGCAGCTGCCAAGACCACTGTGTGTGCACAGGAATGCTATGTGTGTCTGCATGCCACAAAACGCAAGGACTCAGAATGGGCACCGCCCTTCCTCAAGCTATAGGGAGCTGAGCAAATCAGGTGGATGTCCCAGCATTTCCGTGCAGGTGACAGACAAGCATAAATCAGTGGAGAGTTGTTTTTAGGCAAGAAAGAGAAGTGAGTTGCCTGCAGGGGAGGACATGACACTACGAATGCATGTTACCTGTCTCAGTTCCTGGCTGTCCCCCTCGGAAATTAACGGTTCGCTCATCTGTAGCTGAAGTGGCCTCCCTTCCTGGTTCCCTGAGGAGGGCTCACAGTGCATGGCTCGGTCCAAAAGCCCAGATGCTGAAATGGAAAGTCAAACAGAGTGGCATCTTCTAGAAGGTGTGAACAACGCAAGGGCATTCAGAACTTTACAAAAAGTGTTTAAGACCGTCAGAGCTCTTTCGGTTGACGAAGTGTTTTCCCAGGCATTTACTGTTTAGAGCTTCTGTGTTTGCGGGAGCGGTGAGTCCACCTCTCTGAACCTCTGCTGAGCTGACTGAATATGGGACCCACCTGAGCCTTGCCTTCTACCCAATCCAGGGCTGCTTCCTTACCCCACACTGATCAGAGTGTGCAACACTGTAAATACTCAGGATCTAGTTCTATAACTGGCTTTTAGAAGAAAGATGCTTTATCCAGGAGTGATTTTTTTCTTTTTGAGAGGACAATAGATTGGAGTATGAAACATAATACTTGTTGAGCCCTGGTGAAATGTACATGAAATACACTACTAGGAACTGCATTACCATCTGATTACCCCACAAAACACTGTGGTTCTAGAGAGCACATGAAATGGTCAGCTAGTCAGGTCAAGCAAAGTTGAATGTGGAGCTGTACTGAGGTAGGGGTGAGCCAGACTGCTGCACGTGGCAAGGCATTGCTCAGGGGTGTTTCCATTCACACATCTATGCCTGGGTAGTCTTGCTAAGAAGCAGAAGAGCAGCTTGGCAAGGAACAGTGAAAATCCTTTATTTAAAGAGCTGCCTCCATCTGCAACCCTGGCACTGTAAGGCCCAGATAAGAGCATAGCTTAGAGTCTGTCACCTGCTTTTCTCCATAATACAGACCACCTCAGATGTGTCAATATAGCCATGTTTATTTATTAGGATGCTGGAAAGCATTCTGGGGTGAGAACCAGCAGTGTGGATTCCAGCACCAACTCCTTTGAGCAGATTTCTCTGCTTCAGCAAAATGGGAGGGCAAAAGCAGGACACCCCACTTCCTTCCTAGGACCCTAGTGGCAGTCAGCAGAGCTGCCTTTCATCCCAGCAGCCTGGAGCAACTGATAAATGCATTGTTAGGAAAGGAAATCCATCTTGGGGTAAAGGTCTTGCTGGGCCTGAACAGCAGGAACCCAGGTGGTGAATCCAGGACACACCAACTGCACAAGCCCCTCCTCCCCAGGGAGAGACCAGCCACCTCCAACAGGTACACAAACATCCCCGTATTCTTATTTCTCAAAAAATTTCTTACAAATTAACACTCCCTGAGATTACCTAGCTGAGCAAAGAAGACATGATGACAAGAAAGCATGTTTCTTGGGATCCTAGAGAGGAAAAGGGTCTTGGCCAGATGGAGTGAGTTCAGGAACCAGTTGATGCGAAGCAAAACCTGCATGAAGGCAAGACCCAAGGGTTCCACACTGTGGGCCTGAGCTCTCCCCGGGCCCATCTCCACTGGGAAGGAGGCCCTTTGTGAGAGTCTTCGTGCCCTTTAACTGTGCACCACTGTGCGAAGTGCTTCCTACACAGAACTGCAACACCCGTACAAGCACCTTGGAGGTCTGAAAAAGTTTCACAAGACAAAAACCTTAGTACACACCATGTACTCAGATGTGCTTTTCTATTCTATTCTTCATATAAAAGCTGGTTGCAACCAACCAAATTGATTTTACAACCTGTGTCCTGGAATCTCCAAAGTGCCACTACTTCAACATCCTAAGGGCTTATTAATTAGCACAGAACTTTCCATAGCATACAACTCACTGTCGGTTGGTCTTGCATGATCTAAATGTCACTAACATGTTACATAATGAAAAGCACTTTTCTAAAACAGCAATAGAACACCATCAGAGCTAAACTAGACAACAGAGGACATGTTTTACTAGATACTATTAGCCTAAAGGAAAGGCCAACTAACACACCTGACGTTAAAACATTATCAGTGATAACATGATGGCAAAGCGCACTTCACTTGTCTATGTTAACAGTGGTTCTATGGCCTAATGGGTGGAAGCAAACTCCCCATTCAGCCTACACCCTCCTCCTTCCTAGTCTGCTCCTGATCCTGCAGACTCCTGTTCCAGCCACCCCGGCACCCTGGCCCCAGCATGCTATTCCTGCCCACCTTGCCCCCGCTCTGCACATGTCATGCAGACAGATGTCCCCTAGCCCAAGTATGGAGACATGTTCTCCACTCAGCCCTTCCTTTAGCAGCAATCTTCCCTCATCTGTCCTGGTACCATTCAGTTTACACACCTTTGACAGTCACTTGCTTGGTACTGCACTGCTATTTATCTTTTTCAGCATCTTTTCAAACTGGGATCTCCCCAGCTAGCTTCTCTGAGAGCACGGCCCATGTCTAATTCACACTTGTGCCCAGCACTGTGCTCCTGCACTGTCACTCTGGTTTCCATTTCAACACCTACAGCTATATTACAGTTAGAGACATACTATTTTTGAATGTTTAACAAATGGGATTACTTAAACAACCAGAAAACCAAAACTGAGGATTTTTCTTCCTGGAACATACTAATAAGAGATGTTTTTCACAACGAGCTGTGGGATCAGCAGGATCCTGCCTAATACAAAACTCGGCCACCCCCGTGAACTTTGTGTTGAGACTTGGGTTGCTGACTCAGTTACTTCAATGCTTTGAAATATCTTCTGAAAAAATTAATTTAGTTCAGTATAAGATGGTTTTTGTCTCAAAAGTCATTAGTTATCTCAGTTAAACAAAATAATCACAAATTGTTCAAGCTACATGCTACCTTACAGATGATTCCACTTTCCAAGAACAAGGAGGCATCGAGGGAAACCCTGAGTAAGGACTGCGCTGGCAGGGGCAGCACTGGGACGCCAGTCTCCTTTGTGCATCAGACATAGACTCCTGACCTCATTGCAAGTTCAGACCAAAGACTACCAGGGCCTGACCTGGGAGCAGAAAAACCGCTCCAAGCCTGTCCAGCCTTGAGCAAATCTTTCTCCCTGTCTCTGGGCCCCATACGCCTCACTGATGACACAGGAAAATGCCTACTCTACCCAGGGATGGATACAGCAGCTTATATAACTGGGGTGGGAAGCCCTTTCAGAAAAAAAACACAAAACGCCCCATGTCCTCAATACAACAGGAAGTGTAACAGAGAGAAAACTGAAATGGAGAGACAGCAGTCTCAACTGACTCATGGGTCCTTGGAAGGGATCAAGTGGGTGAGGGCCAAGCAGCTCTCCGGGGGTCTGTCGATAGTCAGGGGGTCACCATGTCCTAATAAACTAATAACATGGGGCTTGTCTGAAGTCAGTGCAGTGCTTGTGTCCTAGTGACCACATGGAGGGGTCTGTTGGTGGTCAGCATGGTGCTGTGTCCCAGGGTCAGAACTTTACTATTTCAAAAGATGATCTTAAATTAATGACCCTATGCAGAGACTTCAATGCCTCAGAAGTTCATTTATCATTACACAGAGATGCGTGTGCCTTCTGGTTACCTGGGCCTGTCCTGGGTGCTGGAGATGGGGTGAGAAAAGACAGACTTGTGTCTGATTCTGGAGCACACATCCCAGTGTGGGAAGTTGAACAGCAAACCAGAGGGTACCAGCACCAGAGGGCAAGTGCTAGGCAAGATTTCTATAGGATCAGTGAATGGGAAACTAGTCCTCTTAAATTAGGTGGTCAGAGAAGGTCCCTCTCAGAAGGCAACAGTTCGCAAACAGTGAAAACAAAAATCAGTACCAAAAAAACTCTTTAAAAATGCTATGCACGGACCTTGCTCTTATATGATAAGAGCTTTGTGGGCTTCCTCCAAAAACCCATCACCCCAGTGGATCATGAGACAACAATGACACAAAGTCCAACTAGGGGAGTCTACAAAAACCTGACCACTACTCCTGAAGACCATCAAGATCATCAAAGCAAAGAGAGTCTGAGAAACTGTAACAGTCAAGAAGAGTCCAAGGAGATGAAATGCCGAAATATCATGTGGGATCCTGGATGGGATTCTGGAACAGTAAAACATAAGGAAATCTGAATAAAATATGGACTTTAGTGAATAAAGGTGTATCAGTACAGGCTCATTAGTTGTGACAATGAACGATACTAATGTAAGATGACAAGAATAGGGAAAACTGGGTGTGGGAGACATGGGAACTCTCTGTACTATCCTCACAACTTTTTCTCAAGTCTGAAACTATTCTAAAATTTAAAAGATTATTTTAAAGATACTATGCAGAAAAACAGCAATTTGCAACTGCTCTTCCTTAAGGTGGGATCTGCCCACCTGTATCATTTCCAGCCCTTGAAGCCCAGGAAACTCTCTTCCTCCCCCAGTCCTGGCCTGGCCACCCCAGGCCCTCAACCTGTCTACTCTATACATTACTACAGAGGTCTCTGGAAAGTTCTTCTAGGACACTGGTGCCCTGTTACTAGACCGCCACCTTCTGGCCACACACAATTTACCAAAATAGCTCATCGAGGAGAGAAATTGTTTCTGAGAGGTCAAAGTCATGGTTTCTACCTCCACTGTTTCTGTAGTTTCCAGTGCAGAACAGTAAAAACAGAGGTGCTGACAGATGCAACAACAAGAGAGGTAACAATGAGAAGTAAGTTCTCATTGCTGGGCTTGCGCAGGATTACTGTGAAGTTCCAAGCAAATGAGATACCATCTTGCTTATTGAACTCAGCATGCCGGCTTCTTCCAAACATAACTCCTTGTCACCTGTACCTCTCCAAATCCACAGCTGTAAGGTACACCTGCCTCACCTACGCAGGGAGGCTTCACCAGGGGAGGATGGGACTTCATGCTCAGTCCAGACTCAGACACACTGTAGGGATCCTACCCACAGGCTAAAGTTAGCACTGAGATGAAAACCCATCTGTCACCGTGGATGCGGCTCAGCTCATTCCATACATATACAATCCGTTACTGTGATGGGTGAGGCCATAGTCCCCAGTTATTCAATCCAACCCTAATCTAGGTGTTACTGGGAAGGTATTTGTAGATGTGGTGAAGGCTCTCAGTCAGTTGACTTTAGTGAAGGGAGCCTGTCCTAGACAATCTGGTGGGCCTGGTTCAATCAGCTGAAAAACCTTAAAAGTATATCTGCAGCTTCCTTGAGGAGAAAGACGTTCAGCCTCTGGTCAGCAGCCTCAGCTTGTGCACAAGAGGTTCATTTTCCCCTTCCTGATGGGTGGCCCTGCAGAATTTGCACTCACTCAGCTTCCTGCAGTCTGATTATGGCTGCAGAGGCCCTGGCACTCACTCCCTCCTCTCTAGGCCCATCTGCCACCTGTATGCTTGGAGTCAGAGCTTACCATCCCATCTTCCTCGGGACCCACCCTCCATGACAGCAAGGCACAGCAAGCTTGCACCCTTCTCACTTGTACAGTGTGACTTTCTGTGACACACGTGACATGCTCGCATCTGCCATCTCATTTGTAACATTCTATGTTGTGTTCTCTCTCTGAAGCCACCATGCCTAACATAAAACCCACGAATATGGTAGAGCTCCATAAGAAGAAGGATTGTTTTCAGGACTGTAGGTACCTGGCACCATGCCTGGCACAGAGGGATTCTCCAACAGCACTGTCAGAACCAACAGCCCACGGTGCTCTGCATCTGGTCCCACCAGCCAGGGCCTCCTCCCTCCTCTCACTGCTGAGGAAAGTAAGTTTCTAAATTAAGTTTTTACATTAACATTTCCAACATTTTGATACTTATGGGACCAGATCTATTATCAAGCAATTTCTTTTTGAAACTTGAAGTCATCTAGAATAACATCAAAATATTCATATGTTAGGGAAACATTACATATTGGAACTGAAATCAATCACTTAAGAGGAAAAAAGAAAAGGAACTGGAATAGTAACAAACATATCTCTTACTTTATTTTTTGTTTTTGGTTTTGGTTTTTCTTTGTGGTACGCGGGCCTCTCACTGTTGTGGCCTCTCCCGCTGCAGAGCACAGGCTCCGGACGCACGGGCCCAGGCGCTCCGCGGCATGTGGGATCTTCCCGGACTGGGGCACGAACCCATGTCCCCTGCATTGGCAGGCGGACTCTCAACCACTGCGCCACGAGGGAAGCCCATATCTCTTACTTTAAACAAACTCTAGCAATCGAAGTTAATAAGAAAAGACTATTACTTGTTAGAAAAATCACTATAACATAGAAGTAATGTCACCTATAATGCTAGTATTAGAATATTTTATGACTTTGGGATTCCTTAAGCAGGGCTCAAAAATAAACTTAAGGGGAAAAATGGTAAATCGGACCATAGCAAAATTAAAGATTTCCGTAATGGAAGATGACAATCTAGGAGAAGTATTGGTAGCTTCTAAAGTCAACAAGGGATGAATATCTAGAATGAATAATGAACTACTGCAAATCAGAGAGGGAAAAAAAAAAGTCCAGTAGGGAAAAAAAAAAAAAAAAAAAAAAACCAGAACAAGCAACCCACAGAGCAAAATCTGTGGGACCAAAAAGCAACTAAAAGGCATCAGATGCTCCACCTCACAATCAATCAAAAAAATAAAAATAACCTTTAAGATACCACCTGACATCAGTCAGAATGGCAAAACCGAGAAGTCAGATACCACCAAGTTATTCTATGCTAGGGAGGAGGCTGGGACCTGGGGACATATCCACATGTCCTGCCACCCACAGTAGAACCTCAGGCCAAACTCAGCTATACCCTCTATGCCCCACAGAGACCTAAAAGAGGATACTGCAGCCATAATGCCAAGAAAAGCAAGGGTTTCACAATACTTCTGGGATGCTAAAAAAAAAAAAACACACAGAAACTACGCTGCGTAATTTTCAAAAATTCTGATATCCAAATGCCCATCTGGAAGGTGGGCTGGGAATACCTCAATTAAGTGCCAAGAAAACCGAGTGTGATGCTGGGTCAGGGGAAGGGACTGGAGACACACCAGAGCAGGTGGGGATGATGCTAGTTAAGACCCTAAAGTGTTGGTTCTCAAATCAAACAGAGGAAAGAGGTGAAAACATCTAACTTGGAGTTTTCCTTTGTTCTGAAAGCATCACCAAAACCATTTCTGACCTATTTGAAAAGGCACAGCTCTCAAGTACATGATAAACCTGAGTGATTTGAGATTCAGGTGGCAAGTACTAAGGAAAATGGTCTGAAATTATTTTTATTTACAAACAAATAGGTAGTCACTAATGAGCTGAAACTGGCAGTTGCTCTATGTGATGCATCACGGCAACGCACCATGGGTGTGTTGAGTTTGACTGTGACTTTAGAGGTCTTGCGCACGGATTGTTTTGATGATCACTCACCTGCATGCCAGACTGAGTAGCCCTTCTCTGCTAGGGGAGAGGTTCTAGTGCTTCTGAGCATCAAGGCATCTTCTAAAAACTCGATCTTCTTGCTGAACTGCACTTCCAAAATGGGGATAACCTCTGGCATCTTGGCAGATATCAAACGATAAGCTATATCTGGCTTCCCAATGAACCGCTGGCGGATGCTAATTTCATAAGGTGTATGAACCTTGATGTCATCTACTTCTTCTCTTTCAAATCTGTGCATGAGCAAAGAATCTGAGTTGTGGATTTCCAACCCAGAAACAAAGACGGTGAGCCTTCCTGGTTTAACATGAGATTCTGTTTTTTGGGAAATAACAGCAGGAATTTTGATCACTATCCCTTCTTTTCCAAAAGCTTTGGAACTAGCCATTGAGGCATCCCACTTGGGCTTTGTTTCTGATGGCATCTTCCAAAGCTTGAAGCTAAAGGGCCACCAAGAAGGAGACTCCAGTTCTGTCAGCAGCCTAAAAAAGCAAACACAACACAGAAAGTAGTCAATGAGTTAATTTTTTTTTTTGAAAACTGTTTTGACTTTTATAAAGAATGTTACCATTTTATAGTTTTCTTTTCCACAAGCACTCCATGAAGCAGAAAAAGCAGGCATTATTATCCCCACATTTTAGAAAAGAAAACTGAGGCTAAGAGCAGTGGGACATTTGCCTACAGATACAAAACTAACCAGAAGTAGACACACAACAAAAACACACATCTTGTGACTAGAATATTGCTCTTTTCACACTTGACCTGGTGTAATTTTGACCAAAATAAATCCTGATCATAATCTCTAGAGAGCTGTCTAATAGAACTTTCTTCAGTAATCTGTATTGCCTAATCCAGTAATGGGGACATGTGGCTACTGGGCACCTGAAATGCAGCTAATGCAATGATGAATTGAATTTTAAACTTTTTTTTTTTTTTTTGCGGTACGCGGGCCTCTCACTGTTGTGGCCTCTCCCGTTGTGGAGCACAGGGTCCGGACGTGCAGACTCAGCAGCCATGGCTTACGGGCCCAGCCGCTCCGCGGCATGTGGGATCTTCCCAGACCGGGGCACGAACCTGTGTCCCCTGCATCGGCAGGCGGACTCTCAACCACTGAGCCACCAGGGAAGCCCTAAACTTAATTTTAATGTGGCTAGTGGCTACCATATTGGACAACTCTAAATTAACCACTAATAATATCCAGAGATATATCTAAAAAGACAATAAGAGAGGAAAACAGTAGAAGCAGGAAAGGAAAAGCAAAGGAACAAAGATCAAATGGAATAAACAGAAAACAAATAACAAGATGGTGGAATTATCACAACCATATTAGTAATCATACTAAATGTAAGTGGACTAAATTCTCTAATTAAAAGGCAGATTGTCAGCCTTTAAAGGCAGAGGGTCAGTCTATAACAAGACACAGTTATATCTTGTCGACAAGAAGCAATGTGAAATATAAAGATACAGATACACTGAAAGTAAAGGGATTGGAAAAGTAAAGTAAAAAGAATCATGCCAAAAGTAAACTTTAAGACAAGGAGTGTTACTGGGGAAAAAGAGGGACAATGCATAATAATAAGAGGATCAATCCAAAAGAGAGACTTAATGATAGTAAATATGTGTGCATCTAATAACGGAACTTCAAAATTCATTAAGCAAAAACTGGCAAAACTAAAAGAAGAAATAGACAATCATACCTGTAGTTGTAGATTTTAACAAACTGCTCTCCACAACTGATACAGCAAGAAGACAAAAGTAATTAATAAGAATATAGACATTTTGAACAACACTATTCAACCATCTCAAACCTGATATTTACAGAAACATCATCCAAATGCTGAATGCACTCTGTTAAGTATATTCAGAATATAAACAATAACAACAAAAAGATTATATATAACAGAGTGGTCAACATGGCAGAGAAGAAACACCTGGAGCTCACCTCCTCCCACAGGTATACCAAACTTACAACTACTTACAGAGGAACTAACGATGAGAAGGACCTGAAGACTAGAAAGAAAAAATTTTCCACAACTAAAGTTATCAAGAAGGAACTACAATGAGATGGGTAGAAGGGGCAGAGACACAGTATAGTTAAGACCCACATCCCCAGGTAGGTGACATACAAAAGGGAGGACAATCACAATTGCAGAGGTTCTCCCCAAGGAGTGATGGGTCCAAGCCTCACACTGGGCTCCCCAGCCCAGTATTACACAGAAGATAAGCCCCCATAACATCTGACTTTGAAGGCCAGTGGGACTTACATAAGACAGAGCTAGAGGGCTGTAGAAAACAGAAACTCTGCTCTTAAACAACACAAGCAGGCTTCCCTGGTGGCGCAGTGGTTGAGTGTCCGCCTGCCGATGCAGGGGACGCGGGTTCGTGCCCCAGTCCAGGAAGATCCCACATGCCGCGGAGAGCCTGGGCCCGTGAGCCATGGCCGCTGAGCCTGCGTGTCCGGAGCCTGTGCTCCACAACGGGAGAGGCCACAACAGTGAGGGGTCCGCGTACCGCAAAAAAAAAAAAAAAAAAAAAACCACAAGCAAAATCTCACATGCTCTTAGACCCACCACAGAGGGAGTAATCTGAAAGAAGCCTAGGTCAGTCCCACTTGTTGAACTTGGAGAAGGCTGCCAGAGAGGGAGGAGGCCACCAGAACTCCCCCTGGGGACATAGATGCTGGTGGCAGCCATTTATGGGGGCCATTTAGGTTCTACCATGAGGACACTGGTGCTGGCAAGGGCCATTTTGGTGTCTAGACTATCTGCACCAGGACATGGTCCCACCCACCAGCAGGTTGGCCACAGTCCTGGGACCTCCCACACTGACAAGCCAGTTACATGAGGAAATGACCCTGACTACCAGCAGGCTGAGACCAGTCCTGGACCCACGGCCCTGTAGTCAGCCACACAAGGACCTGGCACCACCCACCAATAGACTGGAGCCAGCCCCAGGACCTCAGGCCCTATAGCCGACCATACTGGGACACAGCTCTGCCCACAAGCAGGCTGGCACCAGCCCCAGGAGTTTCAAGGCCCTTGCTCCACATACTAGCAAGCCGGTACCAGTACCGGGACTTGTCAGCACCTGCAGACAGAAGTCCAAGGCCCCCCAGGCCCCAAAGTCAACTGCACTGGGACCAGGCACCACCCACCAGCAGGCTGAGATATGCCTCAGGAAACCCCAGGGCCACTCAGTTGGCCGCTCTGGGACCTAGCCTTGCCCACCAGTGGCCAACAGCCTCTGCATGAAGCAAGGCCTGGTAGCCAACTGGGACAGGGACAGCCCTGCCTACCAACATGCCCACAGGGGCATCCCTAGATCATATAACTCTGGTGCTGCTGGGCACCATAGGATGTCTCCTACACAAGCCTACTTCTCCAAGATCAAAAACATAACCAACCTACCTAATTCATAGAAATAAACACAGAAAATTAGGTAAACAAAAGGAGGTGACAAAGAAGCATGTTCCAAACGAAGGAAAAGATAAAATCCCAGGAGAACTAACTGAAGTGGAGATAAGCAACGTACCCAGTAGGGTTCAAGGTAATGATCATAAAGAAGCTCAACAAACTTAGGGAAAGAATGAATGGCCACAGTGAGAAGTTTAAGAAGAGATAGAAAATATAAAGAAGAACCAAATAGTAACTGAAACTAAAAAATACACTAGAAGGAATCAATAGATTAGATGATACAGAGGAACAGACAGGTGATCTGGAAGACAGAGTAGTTGAAATCACCCAAGTTGAACAGAAAAAAGAAAGAGAAATTTTTTAAAATGAGGACAGTTTAAGATAACTCTAGTCTTATATCACAGTACTATGAGACAAGAAATCAGCTATAAGAAAAAAACTGCAAAAAACACAAACACATGGAGGCTAAACAATATGCTAGTAAAACCCAATGGGGTCATAGAAGAAATCAAAGAGGAAATAAAAAAATACTTGGAGACAAAAGAAAATGGAAACATACAATCCAAAATCTGTAAGACACAGCAAAAGCAGTGCTAAGAAGGAAATTTATAGTGATATATGCCTACCTCAGGAAACAAGAAAAATCTCAAATAAACAACCTAACCTTACACCTGAAGGAAGTAGAAAATGAAAAACAAACAAAACCCAAAGTTAGAAGGAAAGAAGTCATAAAGATCAGAGTGGAAATTAATGAAATAGAGACTAAAAAAAAAATAGAAAAGATCGATGAAACTTAGAGCTGGTTCTTTGAAAAGATAAATCTTTAGCCAGACTCATCAAGGAAAAAAAGAGAGAGGAGCCAAATACACAAAATCAGAAATGAAAAGGAAGTTACAAATGAAACCTCAGAAATACAGAGGACTGTAAGAGATTACTACAAACAATTACATGCCAATAAGACGGACAATCTAGAAGAAATGGATAAATTCCTAGAAATGTACAATCTACCAAGATTGAGTCAGGAAGAAATACGAACAGACTAATTTTATTAATTTAAAAACTCCCAACAAACAAAATTCCAGGACGAGTGGGCTTCACAGGTGAATTCCACAGAACATTTAAAAAGGAACTAATGCCTATCCTTCTCAAAGTATTCCAAAAAATTAAACAGGAAAGAATGCTTCCCAACTCATTCTACAAGGCCAGCATCACCTTGATACCAAACCAGACAGACACTACAAAAAAAGAAAATTACAGGCAAACATCACTGATGAACACAGAAGCAAAACTCCTCCACAAAATATCTGCAAAGCAAATTCAACAATACATTAAAAGGACCACACACCATGATCAGGTGGGATCTATCCCAGGGATGCAAGAATGGCTCAATATCTGCATAGCAATCAATGTGATACACCACATTAACAAACTGAAGAATAAGAATTATATGATCTCAAAAGATGCAGAAAAAGCTTCTGATAAAATTCAACATCGATTTATGATAAAAATGTTCAACATTGGGTCTAGAGGGAACATACCTCAACATAATAAACACCACACATGACAAACCTACAGCCAACATCATACTCAACAGTGAAAAGCTGAAAGCATTTTCTTTAAAATCAGGAATAAGACAAAAATGCCCACTCTTACCACTTTTATGCAACATAGTATTGGAAGTCCAACTCATAGCAATTAGACAAGAAAGAGAAATAAGAGGAATCCAGATTGGAAAGGAAAAATTAAAACTGCCACTGTTTGTAAATGTCACGATACTATATGTAGAAAATCCAAAAGATGCCACCAAAAAACTACTAGGACTCATCAATGAATTCAGTAAAATTTCAGGATACATTGCATTAATTGTTAATGGGATTATTTTTTAATTTCTCTGATAGTTTGTTATTAGTGTATAGAAATGTTGCATTTCTATACACTAATAACAAACTATCAGAGAAATTAAAAAATAATCCCATTAACAATTACATCAAAAAGAATGAAATACCTAGGAATAAATCTAACTAAGGCAGTTAAAGACCTATATTTGGAAAACTATAAGACACTGATGA